GTAATAATCGCGAATTTTTAAAGGTATTATTATATTCGGTATAAAAATAAGAAAATTTTGAGATATTCTCAAAAAAAAAAAATTTTAAAACTATTATATAAAAATCCGAAAAATGGCTCTCGTTACTAATTGCGATACAGAAGAACTTTACAATATTCGTTTGTACGAGCATAATGTATTTGAACATTTATTTAATGGCAGTATAGGTGCACCAGTTATTGAGAAGTTACAAAATGGTGCTAAAGTATTGGAGTTAGGGTAAAATATTTTATATAATTACTTAATGAAAATTCCTATAATTTAAATTATTGTACTTATAAACATTCACAAACTAAAGTTGCATGGGCGGAATTTGGATTATTGAAGTATTTAATCAAATTTTATTTTAAATAAATGTCGGAAACTTTATTTTTTTTTTTTAGAGGCTAATTTAATTTACTTTTATTAGGTTGCCCTTGAATATCCAAATTCAGATTTCTACGGTGCTGATATCTTTACACCAAAGTCTTATGGAAATATTACATTTGTTGAATGCAATATTTTCGAAAGATTGCCGTTTCCTGATGAAGAGTTTGATTATGTTTATTCCAGAAATGGTTTTCACTTTTTTAGAAATGATACGTTTCAAGGGTTTTTGTCAGAGATCCTTCGAATATTAAAGCCTGGTGGTTGGTTTGAAGTAAGAAAAAAAAATAAATCTTTATTTTTAAATATGTTCTACATATCTCTTACAAATTCGATAATAATTGTTTTATTTAGGTTACACTAACATCTAAACATGTTTTTGATGGCGGGCCGGCCTTTTCATTTTGGAATTCTTCTTGTATGTTTTTTTGCATTTTCATCTAAAAATTTTTGATTTTATATTTCGAAAATCGGTTTTAAAAAATTTTTACTTAATTTATTTATTCGGAATTTCTTAGGGTTTTGGTGGTTTAAATCAAATAATATTAATACGGATTTCATAATATACCTCGAGGATTACCTTCAAAAGACTCAAAAAATTGAATGTATAGAACATCAAACAGTAAAAATTTTTATGGGAAATGGCAATCATGAAATTGGAGAGTTTTCAGGAGAAGTTTTTTTATTTTTGTTAAAAGAATTGAAAGAAATTTTACTGCCTTTTATTGGAATTTCAAGCACAAAATATCAAGACTTAGTGAAAGAAATTGAAATAGAATTTAAAAGCGGAAAAAGCAAGTCTTATTTTTATGGTCATAGAATATTTGGAAAAAAGAAGGATCTTGAGAAATTGATTTATTGACTTAGATTTTTTTATATATAGTGCTTTTTCATAAATTTTCATATAATGGTTATAAAATTTTATCTATATATTTATTTCTTTCTTTTATAACCTTTTAGAAGAGGTGCCACTGGCGTACATTATTTTACTATACATTGTAGATATTTTTATCATTTTTGTTTATTATTATTTTATAATTTTTTATTACTGTATATTATTTTAGGCTAAGCAAAGATAATTTTTTGGTTTTCATAACCCGGCCGGGTCAAATTTTACTAAACAAAGAAAAAATTTTAAGTATATTTACTATCCGAGTGGTCTTTTATATATATATATATAATTTTTTAAAAATAAAATAAAAAAATTACCTTATATTTTTTTCTTGTTTTTTTTTTTTTTTTTATTATTATTATTATGATAAAAGTCACCATTGATAAATAGGGCTCATAATTAAGCTGGAACTTGACACTAATGGTGCGTAAGTGTCATAATAAGATTATTTGGTCCAAATGACACTAGGAAATATCACCCAATTGACCAAAACATATATAGGTAGTAGTCTTTTAAACGTTACTAAAGGTAGAATTCAATTTTCGACTTACTTAAAAAGTTCCAATATTACATAGTAAAATGCGAATTCACCGCATTTACATACGTATCCCAGATTATCAATTTCTCAATCATATAGAATTCTAGCTATAGTCATTAAGTGCTTGGTGTTCTGAAGAAGTAGGAATGGGAATCGAGATTATTTCAAAATCGATTATGTAACTTATGTTTAGGAATAGACAGGTCCTGGAAAGACTAAATAAGGAACAGTCTTTTAACCGGTCTCGCAGTTATTTCTTGAGACTAGTGTCAGAAGCAAAATTGACAAATCAAAGAAAGAAGGAACCCGTGCCTCAAAGTAACCCACGAAGCCTGGAAACCGACCAAGAAACCCACATGCCAAATGGACCCGAATCGCATGTGAACATCCCGCAGGACCAATGATCAGCAAATTCGTGGTTAAACCCGAAAAGGCATTGTTGAATAATTAACCTGATTGTCAAAGATGCGGCTTAGAGATGTCACTGGGCTAAATTAAAATATCGGGATAAGTTCGTGGCCATGTCTCAACTCCATGATTCATTGAGTGAAATCTTCGTTATGTTTCTTTTTGTTTCTTTTCTGTGTTGTATAAAAAGTAGAGTTTGTAACCGGGTTACCCGCGGGTAATCAGATATCCGGGTAGTGATTATGGCTACCCGGGTAGTTATAACCGGGTAATACCCGAGTAGAAATAACCTGGTATACCCGGGTAGATATAACTGGATAATACTCGGGTAGATATAACCAGATAATACCTGGTGTCGACGTTCAAGCCGCGATGAGCATAACTAAGCATATAATATGTATCGAACACAAAACGAACTGCAACGAATCACTGTTGCGAAACTTGTAGTACCACCTGGTACTAAAAAGGAATTTTAAATTTTTATACATATCATAAGAATAACGATAATGATAATAATGAAGCCGAAAAAGTAATGAAGGTGATGGGGAAAATACTGAAATCGATAACGAATATGACAATTGTAAGAATTATAAAAACAAAGGCCAAACGAATTCGTTTACCCAATCTCGGTCTCGATCACCATTTACCCCTTTACCCATTCCACAAGCAACTCAGCGTGATGATAATACAAATTTTTACTTTGATGGTTTAAATGGTTTAAATTTTAATTTTACTGATTGTAAAGTTAAAATTTTTCTTAATCGTTAAAATAGTTTAAAAACTTTAATGTACAATTCAAAATGCTGTAATATCTAACTAGGTTGTTATTTACAAGTAATATCCTGACTGTGCTTAAAAACTATAGTAATACTTTTCAATTGTATTTGTTTATATAATAAAAAAACTGATGTATTTTACTTCAAAATATAAATTATATTACAATTAAATAATAATAAAAGCAGGTGTCACTTTTGAAATTCGTATTGATGAAAAACAATTATAAAATTTTCAATTAAAATTAGCTATCTACAAATTATCAAGTATCTTCAATTAGTATTATGATATATAGTCCTTTTTATATAATCACTCACTGCTAAATCATTCATAAATAATTTATTTTTTATCCTTTAAACTGTATAGTGTACAAATTTGTATGCTAAAATTTTTTTAACTCTATTTTTGGATAATTGTATAAGATTTTATTAAGCTTCTACCCCCTATTTATAAGCTAAAATTGAAGCATATAATATGTTGATCATACTGTAGTTCATAGTATCTTCTACTTATAGTACTGTCACTATGCAAGTAAACCTCATAATATGTATTTGGATGACTTGATAATCAACTAACTTTTAAGTTGTTATGTAGAAATTAAACTAAATTCTTTGCAAAAAACAAATTTTTAAATAATAAATAAACAAATAATTATCTACAAACTTAAATAATAATGATTTTGCTTCAAATCAAGTGTAATTAGTATGATTTTAAAAAAATAACTTCTATAAATAGGTCATTCTCTATAGGGTTCCTATAAACTAAACTAAACTGAACTTTTATCAAGTTCAAGTTCAGTTCAAAAATTGAACTAAACTGAACTGAACTAAACATTTTTAAAAAATAAAGTTTAATTCAATTCAGTTCAGTTTAATTTTGAACTTTTTAAATTAGTTCAAGTTCAGTTTAGATTCAGTTCAAAGTTCATGAATATGTTTAGTTTAGATTCAGTTCAAAGTTTATAAACATATTAAGTTAATATATTTTTATATATATAACAAAATAACTTAGAATACTAAATTAGAATTTATGAGTAAAATTTTAAGAATTATAGTATTCTTTATAATTTTACTAATAAAATTATAAGGAATGCTATAATTCTCAGAAATTTATTAATGTACTCTAACTTTATACTCTAAGTAACTTTGTTATATATATAAAGATATATTAGAATAGTATATTTATTTTATATATAATAAAATTTAAAGAGAAGATGTTTAATTTTAATTTTAATAAAAATTTTTATTAAAAACTGAAATTAAATATTTTCTCTTTAAAATTTATTAATTGTAAAAATAAATGTACTATTCTAATATATTTTTATATGTAAATCAAGTTTTTTTTTTATTATTAAGGCTGCTTCCTTAGCTAATTAGATTTTATTAATTTCAAATTACAAGGTTATATATATAGTTTTTTCTAAGGTTTATAATTACATGATGAGTGTACAATAAGCCACACATATAACTTTAGTTATTATCTAATTTAAGTAGACTACTACACAGATATTAGACTATCTGTTTAGTTCTACACTATGCTACTATATCTGCAACTTGCCTATAGATTACCTATTTAAATACTCTGATTATTAACTTATCTCTAATTTTTAACTAAATTCATTACTAAATCTGACTGCTTAAGCTAGCTAACTTGCCTGTGAATCTTTCTCTAACACAACTTAGATCCTTTTGAGATATATATTGTCTAACATATTGTGAATATATAAGGCTCTAATTAATCTCAGAAGTGATTTCTACTAGAGTAGTCATGTAGCTATTTCACAGATTCACCTAGCTTAGACTCTTGTAATGTTTATACAACCTTAGGTTCTACTATATCCTCTACTAGTTGGATGATCTAGTTTTTTTTTAGTATCTAGCTAGTTTAGTTACCTATCGTCAGTAACCTTGAAACCTTCTGCTTTTATTAGATGAAGTTTTCTTTCTAATCAGACTTTAACTGATGTAGTCTTGTAGAAAAGCTGTATTATTTCACCTACTCAGAATTTCTATTATATAGGTCCTCTGCTCGTATATCTTATTAAGATTTTTATATAATATTATGCACATCACATTTCTAATTTCAGATCAATTTGGTACAATTCAATTTATAGAAGTATATTTTTGAGAACAAAAGAGTTTATCATAATGTATTACAAAGTTTAAGTAATTATTTAAATTCATCGACAGTAGGATTTGAACTCCAGATCTATTATATAGCAGTCTGATAACCTAACTATTATATTAGATTACTGAACCTTGTAAATTAAGTTTACTTAGAGAATGAAGTTATAATCTATTAGTAAAATTTTGAGAATTATAGCATTTTTTATAATATACTAATAAAATTTGAAATAATAATATAATTCTCAGAAATTTATTAATATATACTAATTTTGTGCTTTAAATAACTTTGTTTTATATATAAAATTATATTATAATAGTATATTTTATTTTATATTTAATAAATTTTAAAGAGAAGATACTTAATTTTGAATTTTTAATAAAAATTTTAATTAAAAATCTAAAATTAAATATCTTCTCTTTAAAATTAATTAATTGTAAAAAAAAAATACTATTCTAATATATTTTTATATTAAGAACAAAGTTATTTAGAGTATAAAATTAGAATTTATTAGTAAAATTATAAGAATAATAATATTTTTAATAATTTTACTAATAAAATTTTAAAGAATACTATAATTCTCAGAGATTTATTAATATATTCTAACTTTATACTCTAAGTAACTTTGTTCTATATACAAAATTATATTATAATAATATATTTTTTTTTTATAATTAATAAATTTTAAAGAGAAGATGCTTAATTTTAGATTTTTAATAAAAATTTTTATTAAAAATAAAAATTAAGTATCTTTTCTTTAAAATTTATTAAATATAAAAAAAAATATACTGATATAATATAATTTTATATATAGAATAAAGTTACTTAGAGTATTAAGTTAGGATATATTAATAAATATCTAAGAATTATAGTATTTTTAAAATTTTATTAGTAAAATTATAAAAAATATTATTATTCTTATAATTTTACTAATAAATTTTAATTTTATACTCTAAGTAAACTTGTTTTATATATAAAATTATATTATAATAGTATTTTTTTTTATATTTAATAAATTTTAATAAGAAGATATTTAATTTTAGATTTTTAATAAAAATTTTTATCAAAAATCTAAAATTAAGTATTTTTTTTTTAAAATTTATTAAATATAAAATAAAATATACTA